AATATTTAAACTCAACTATTTCAACCAAAAATATTTCAGGTACAACACAAGTGTGCTATTATGAAGAGGTACACGTGACACAACCTAATCCCGTCATGAATTCGAGATTTAAATCTTAAAATCAAAATGTTCGCTTACAGCCGTATTTAAATTATGGTAGTTTCGCTTTGCCCCTTCTCCTTATTACCGAAGCTAGAAATTCGAATCTCCCGACAGGGAGTTGAGTCATCCATGCTCAATAAAAATAGCTTAGATTAACGAAACGAACAATCCACAACATTCTCGTTCATCTGTTTTATTATGTAATCGCATTAAACGATATGAAAGCTAAATATAGTAAAAGGGATCTCAAACGCTACTCAAATGTATTAAGTAGAAATATGTGTCCTGACGCAACCAGTTACTCACCAGAATTTTAACGTAATTTAACATTGGGACCTAGGTGAAATAAGGATTTGGTCAGTACAACTAACAGCGGGCAACCGAATTACCAATTAAAGCGCGAATTGCATGTTGCAGAATATATTTTTCATGGCCTAAATTCCCAAATTTCAATCTCTTCAATTTGAAAAAGATCTTTTTCCGTTAAGCCATAGCAATTCGAGGCACAAACGAAGCCAGTAATTGACTTTCTGAAAAAAATAACGAAAATAAGCATGAACATTAAATACGGCTACAGAGAGAGAGAGAGAGAATAGAGGAATAAACTACTTGCCAGATAGAATAAAATGGTCGCCTTTGGCGCTAACAGTTTCATCCTCAAGTAGTAAACTACGGTAGCCAAAAGCAACTAGCGCAGTTCAGTTCGATTTGGTTGAATTCAGAAACAATCTCTAAGAACGAATAATTTTTCTTCCTTCAACTTGAACCCCCAATCATTTACGACCTATTGTCTAACAATATGTAAAGACGCTATTCGCAGTAAAGCATCATAAAGAGGAAGACATGATTTCAAGCGATTGATTAGTTGATAGCACAATCTCGGATGTTGGACAACAGTGAATTCTCATTCAACATGAGTTCAAATCTCCTGTTATCAAGCTTCACTTTGCCCACTGAAAGCATCCGAAAAAAATTCAACCTGACCCCCCACCCCACCTTCCCATTTAGTTAGGATGCAGAACCGAATCTAGGCGACCAAGCATTCCACGCATATAAAAATGACTGGATTTCTTAACAATGAAATCGTTGTTGCGATGCAGAATTTCAATCACATCTCTACTTAGATTAATCGATCTCCGCAATTATAGGCATGATATAGACGTTGCATTAGAAGGTGTGTCAACAATTAAAACTCTGTACATATGTTCGCTAGGAACGAAATTAGCTCAAATCAGTTTAATTAGGATTAAGGAAGTGAAATGTTCCAGGTTAAATTTTTGGATCCAATCAAGACACTATATATGTTCTTTCCAAGCTGGATTCAAGTCCAAATATGGTGTGTAGATTAGCACCCATAGTTGTGATAATCATCCAGCGCTGCAAGCAAATACACCAAGGAAAAGGCCCACCCCCCCCCCTTCCCCCACCCCACTCACTCCTGTTTTGTAACAACACGTCAAGCCAAACTCAGTTTGGAAAAATTTCCCCATTTATTTGTTTGTTTGTTTGTTTTTCTGTGTTGGCAGTAAGTGGAGTGGAGTGCGTACCTGAAGTTGGCAGGCGAGGCAGTGTCTAGAAGAGCGCAGGCGAGATTCACGGAGGCGTAGGCCAAGAGGAAGAATATGGACACGGCCGGTGCGATCGCGTTCATATCGCCGATGAAGAACACAAGCTAGGGGAGGAAAAAAAACACGAACAATCTATGCACAGAAATTTAATTAAATCTGCGTTTAAGAAACGCAGTAAAAATAGATTTATTCATTTATTTCGAATGGCAGGCATTTTGATAGTTATCATTAGCCCTTTAGCTGACTTCGGGGCTTCACAGAGGGGAGGAGGAACATCAAAGTTAGAAAAATTCAAGAGGGTGAACCGAAGAGTGATTTGCAGATGTAAAAGAGGCAGATACAATGGTAGGGAGTAGGGTTAGATGAGTACTGTAGAAGTGGTCGACTATGACATACAGTGAGGTCATGGTAGTTTGAAGTCAGAAGTCAACTGCCGATTAATAGACTTTTTTGCCGTATGAGTATACGTTGCCCAGGGTGCACCACGTGGATGTGAGTCTATCGCGCACCCCAAATTGATCAAAATTATTTTACTCTAATTCGTAGTTGCTTTAGTCACTATGCAGTCAACAACCATTTCAAGGATCCATTCACTCCGTTACCGCCTTAATCGTGCAACCAAAACACCAATGTCTGCTATTCCCCACTCATCACATTTACCAATTCAAAAACCATAAAAAATTAGAATTCTGAACAAAATTGAAGCTTATTTGTGTAGCTTCTTTTATTTTCAATATTATCAAATAAAAGTCACAAACCCAAATATTAATTTCTTTAAGTAAAAATATTTGGCAATTATTTGTAATTAGGCCGAAAACTGGGTAGATTCGTTGGGATGACTAGAACGTAATAAGACTTTTGCACTCCCTAGGTGCTTAAATATTAATAATAACCAGAAATTTGATATGTGAAGTCACTGTCACTCGGTGCGCTTGTGAAATGTCAAATTAGAATAAACGAGAGGACACTTGGTCCCCTCCCCTGCCTGAAGAAATTCCGTATAGGTTGGGTTGAGTTGTAAGAGAAATGAAAATCCATGAGATGGAGGTCACTTAGAAGGCGCATTTATTAAACTTCCCTTAGCCTTAATATTGTTATACCCTGGTTCCGCTTGTTTTAATTCAAAAGTTATTTTGGCGATTATTTTGAAAGTAAGCAAGCAATGGCGGGATTTCTAGCCATAGTCATGACTAGGCACCGCGTGGATTTAAGACGAAAACAAGAAAATGTCATTTACTAGAACCGGGCCTCTGTTAATTTCCCTTCTGGAAAGAAGGGTGATTCGTTGGATGAAAATGGGTTAAAGAGACAAAAAGGAATTTACATTAACAAATGCGATTTCTATACCAGCTTTAGCATCTATAAAATTGGATATTTTCTATACCAAGCAAACTTCCAATGGAAAATGCTCTTTTACTTGAATCTTTTTTTACATATTCATTAAGGGTGTTTCTACGAGAAACTTTTCTTAACAGCTATTAAAGAATAAAATACATTAAACAAAGGCACTTTTCACAGTAATCCTTCCAAGTTGATATATAAGTGGCTTTACTTTACAACCCCACCCGTGGTAAACCAATTCGATGAATGGAATTTTTTGTGTACTAAAGAGAAGAGTCTATATACAAATTACATCGAAATAATTCAAATCAGAAGGCACAAACAGACAAATTGAAAATTTAGAGGAAGGAAATTAAATCCATCGAATTTGTCTCTCACTTCACTTCCTGCCCACAACGTTTTCTTCTTAGAAAAATTGGTATCTTTCAGGCAAAACGAGATGCTTATAATTTTAAGTTCTGATGAACTCAAGTTTTTGAACAAATTAAGATTGGTTACTTTTACGCGATGAGCCTGACCCATGTCTACAAAATGGGGTGTGTGATAGACTTACCTCCACGTGATGCACCCTGGGTAACGTATTCTCATGCGGCAAAGATTCTATAAACCGACAGTTGACATTTAACTCCAAACTACCATGACCCCACTCTATGTCATATTCCACCCCTTCCACAGCACTCATCTTCCCTTTTCTCTGCCTTTTGTGTCTGTCCGTCTGTCTATTTTACATCTGTGAATAATTATTCTGTCCCCCTCTCGAATTTTTCTCTCTTTAATGTTTCCCCTTCTGTGAAGCCCGAGGTCAGCTAAAGGGCTAATTATAATTATCAAGAAGCCTGCCATTTGAAATAAATAAATGTCCACAGGATTGTTTTGTTGACTGGCCAAATTGCCTATCCATATAAAACCTGAAACAAAATCAGTTTTCGAATGATATTACTAAGAAACCCACATAATCAAAATCATGAGTTCTAAAAGGGTAAATCAATTAAATTTTGGAAGAGTGCCCAATTCTTATGGCAAATTACTCATAATAGGATAATCTGGTCCGATAAAT